ATTTATTTCCTCAGTTGTTACAGAAAGAATGACATTATCTAATTTTCTTTTCCAACATGTTGGGATTGAAGAGATAAGTCTATGGTAATTTAAAAACTCAGTATTAGGAATGTTATATTCAGTTTTTAATTGACTAAAAGTTTTAAAAATTTTTGCGTTTATATCATAGATATCTTTTACATGGTATATATTTTTGTTTCTCCACTGTCTGAAATAGAGAAGGCTATTGTTATTTTTTATGTTTGAATTTTGCCAAAGAATTTGTGCTGAAATATTTTTCGGATTTTCATTAAAATTGATTTCACTCCAAGCTACTAATACTTCGTGTATAAATTTATTTTTGATTTTAAATTTCAATATATCTTTTGTGTTTATATTGCATTTAAATATAGATATTCCACCTCAATGATTTATATTTTTCTTTATTATTTCTTTCCACAACCCATCATTTGAATAAGATTTAATAATTGTTATTTATGAAAATTTCCTCCTTTATAATGCTGATATAAACTTCACTTATAAATATTTATTCATGATGCATAAACGAAATAGCAGGCTACCTATCCTGCTAATGAAGACTCGTCACTTTGTTTTTAGAAATGACAACATATAAATCAAATACAGAAATGTGGAAACTATCTAATTATCGTTCACAAATTAAATTTGAGAACATGTATATATATCTAATTTGAAATTAAATGCACTAATAAAGCTGAAATATCACTATTACAGTCAGAGTTGTGTACAAACCTTGTCTTCAACTCTTATTTATTTTGATTCCGTTTCGTTCCGCAAAGTATAAATATCCCCTAGGATAATGATATTTAGCGGAACGAAACGGAACAAGATTTGTAGCTGCCATCTTCCCCACATGAATCAGAGGTGGAGGACGAATGATGTCAGACAAAATGTCTTATCAAATCGGCACGGAGAACATTGCCCGCCCAAGGATCGAACTTAGACACCGACGCTCCTACCTATTGATCTAAGCGGGCGGGTTGGAAACGTATATAATTATCGTAAACAAATTTAATTTAAAAACATGTTTGCCATATAATTGGAATGTGCATGCACTAATAAAGCTGAAATATCATTATTATTGTCAGCATTGTGTACAAACCATGTCTTCAACTCTATTTATTTTGATTCCGTTTCGTTCCGCAAAGTATAAATATCCCCTAGGGTAATGATATTTAGCGGAACGGAACGGAACAAGATTTGTTATTCAATACCCATTTCCTCCTTTATAATGCTTGTATAAACATCACATATAAATAATCATTCATGAATGTTATCCATGAAGATGATAAGTCATTTAGTCTGACATCATTTGTACTCCACCTCTGATTCATGTGGGGAAGTTGGCAGTCACAAATCTTGTTCGGTTCTGTAAGCTAAATATCATTATCCTAGGGGAAATCTTGTTCCGTTCCGTTCCGCTAAATATCATTATCCTAGGGGATATCTATACTTTGCGGAACGAAACGGAATCACAATTTATAGAGTTGAAGACAAGGATTGTACACAATGCTGACTGTAATAGTGATATTTCAGCTTTATTAGTGCATTCACATTCAAATTATATGGCAAACATGTTTTAAATAATTTGTTTACGATAATAATATAGTTTCCAACACGCACACTTAGGTTTGTAGGTAAGAGCGTCGGTCTTCGGATCGCAGAGTCGCAAGTTTGATCCGGGAAGTTGGCAGTTACTTGCGGAGAACAGGTAAGTACGGGTACAGAATCCAGGAACACCGTTTAGGTTAACTGCCCATCGTTACATGGCTGAAATACTGTTGAAAACCGACATTTCTGTATTTTATTTATATGTTGTGATTTCTAAAAGTGACGAGTCTTCATTAGCAGGATAGGTAGCCTGCGATTTTGTTTATGCATCATGAATGATTATTTATATGTGATGTTTATACAAGCATTATAAAGGAGGAAATGGGTATTGAATAACAAATCTTGTTCCGTTCCGTTCCGCTAAATATCATTATCCTAGGGGATATTTATACTTTGCGGAACGAAACGGAATCAAAATAAATAGAGTTGAAGACATGGTTTGTACACAATGCTGACAATAATAATGATATTTCAGCTTTATTAGTGCATGCACATTCAAATTATATGGCAAACATGTTTTTAAATTGAATTTGTTTACGATAATTATATACGTTTCCAACCCGCCCGCTTAGATCAATAGGTAGGAGCGTCGGTGTCTAAGTTCGATCCTTGGGCGGGCAATGTTCTCCGTGCCGATTTGATAAGACATTTAGTCTGACATCATTCGTCCTCCACCTCTGATTCATGTGGGGAAGATGGCAGCTACAAATCTTGTTCCGTTTCGTTCCGCTAAATATCATTATCCTAGGGGATATTTATACTTTGCGGAACGAAACGGAATCAAAATAAATAAGAGTTAAAGACAAGGTTTGTACACAACTCTGACTGTAATAGTGATATTTCAGCTTAATTATTGCATTCAATTTCAAATTAGATATATATACATGTTCTCAAATTAAATTTGTGAACGATAATTAGATAGTTTCCACATTTCTGTATTTGATTTATATGTTGTCATTTCTAAAAACAAAGTGACGAGTCTTCATTAGCAGGATAGGTAGCCTGCTATTTCGTTTATGCATCATGAATAAATATTTATAAGTGAAGTTTATATCAGCATTATAAAGGAGGAAATTTTCATAAATAACAATTATTAAATCTTGTTCCGTTCCGTTCCGCTAAATATCATTATCCTAGGGGATATTTATATTTTGCGGAACGAAACGGAACCACAATAAATAGTATTGAAGACATGGTTTGTACACAACGCTGACTGTATTAGATCTGTAGGTAAGAGTGCCGGTCTTCGGATTGCAGAGTCGCAAGCCGTTTGATCCTCGGGCGGGCCATTTTCTCCGTGGCGATTTGATAACACATTGAGTGTGACATATTCGTCCTCCACCTCTGATTCATGTGGGGAAGTTGGCAGTTACTTGTGGAGAACAGGTAAGTACGGGTACAGAATCCAGGAACACTGTTTAGGTTATCTGACTACGTTACATAACTGAAATACTGTTGAAAACGGTGTTAGATCCCAAACAAACAAAGATAGTTTCCACATTTCTTTATTTGATTTATATGTTGTGACTTCTAAAAGTGACGTACGAGTCTTCATTAGCAGGGTAGGTAGCCTGCGATTTTGTTTATGCATCATGAATGATTATTTATATGTGAAGTTTATACAAGCATTATAAAGGAGGTAATGGGTATTGAATAACAAATCTTGTTCCGTTCCGTTCCGCTAAATATCATTATCCTAGGGGATATTTATACTTTGCGGAACGAAACGGAATCACAATAAATAGAGTTGAAGACATGGTTTGTACACAATGCTGACTGTAATAGTAATATTTCAGCTTTATTAGTGCATGTAATATCAATTTATATATGACAAGCATGTTTTCAAATTTAATTTGTTTACGATGATTATTAATATTTTAATACAAAATGAGTGTACTGGATATGACGGCCATTGGACACATATTAAAGAGGTCCTGATATCGCCAAAAAATATTTAGATTGTCCACTCATTTTTTTTTCATTCGTCAGTTTATATGAATAATAAATATTAAATTACTGCAACAAGTGTAAAACATTTAAATATATAAATTTTACGGCGATAGGATTTCCTATATTGAACAAGTCAAGAACATAGTTTTTTAAAACAGGTTGCATGTAATAAATTCATGTACCTGTAATATACCAAGATGAAAAATTCCACTGAGAAGAAAAAATAAATCTTGTTCCGTTCCGTTCCGTAGAATATAATTATTCTATGGGATATTTATACTTTGCGGAACGAAACGGAACAACTGTTTGCAGTCCTGAAGATTTTATATAAAATATGTCCATTTAGAAGTGGGTATTCAGATGGTTCAGTTCGAAAAAGCCCTAGATCGACTGTTCGCTAGGCAGTTTCAATATTTCATTATTTTTATTTAATATATTTACATATTAGTAAAAAATTGCTGTGCCCCGTGTGGTGCCTCAATGTTTGTTCCGTTCCGTTTCGTTCCGTTCCGCAAAGTATAAATAGCCATCAGAATATCCTTTTCACATTTTATTTTTAATGCTGAAATATTCTTGTGTGAAAAAAAAAAGTTATTCCTGCATAATTCATAATAAATAACCTAAACAAATTATATTATAAAGCTTGACAAATACAATCGATTGCCGCCGATACCTGTGTTACACCATGGAAATTTTACAATTTTACCCTGTTTTACCCTGTCACCGCTTGCGTCATTTTCCAATATGGCCGCTTACAATAATTTTCAACGATTTAAAAAGTTAAAGTGGAATATTTAGACTTGTGTTCGACTTTAAAGTATGATAACTTGGAACCTTGCATAAAAAACGGTTCTCTTTCAGGTAATGTAGACCGTTTCTTTGAAACTTTTTTAGTTTTCGCTCCCAACAACTTCTAATTGGGAAGCGTCCGTGCATAAAAATGCAGTTCGTGGTTGGACTTGGAAAAAGACAGCGCCCGTCCAAAATTATCTCGGTGTCTCTTTGACAAGTCTAATTAGTTGGACTAAAAATGCAGTTAATATCAAACACATTCTTTTAATAATCTTCATTAAGAAATATTATTAGATTAAGTCAAAACTAAAATGATAATATGTAACTTACAAAAATAAAATTGGGGGAGAACTGTCTGCATATTTCAAATTTGGGAGAGAACCGTCAGGGGAGGAAACGGTTAGGGAGAGAACCGTCAGGGAGAGGAACTGGTAAGGGAGAGAATAGTCTGTCATTCCACTGATACATGCGAGGATTTCCTGGATTTCTTACCAGTACACCTCTATGTAGGTGGGAAACACTGAAAGTGTCTCTGAAAAATCCCAAGGGTGTAACCCAGGATCGAACCCGGGACCTCAGGAGTGATAGTCAGTGGTTTAACCAACTGAGCTATCGCGCCACCTACTGATCTTTGTTTTGTTGTTGAAGGAACAAAGCTTTACGTCGCTAAAAATATTCTTTCACTTGCATCACCAGTTTTTGATGCAATGTTCCAATCTGACTTCAAAGAAAAGTCAAGTGACGAGCTAGAATTGCCTGGGAAGAAACTAAGGGACGTCTTAGAATTCCTTCGATGTATTTACCCCAACACATACACCCAAATTGATCTCGACAACGCTAGGGTCATTCTTCCTTTGTTAGAAGAGTACCAGGTCCTACAGCTAAAACCAAGATGTGAAGTAGTTATACTTGAGACTGTCACAGAAGAAACATCGACGGATGATTTGTTACAGTTGTTGAAGGAAGCATGTTTGTATGATCTTAAAGCTCTGCGTGCTAGATGCATATTTCTTATATCATCTAGACCATGTGATGCATTGGACGAAAACTACTGTAAGTCGTTCCCTTCGGCAAGTGCATTAAATGAGATTTTTGTACATGTTAATACATCAATGAAGAGAAAGTTAGCAGAGCTAGAAGAAGACACCAAGGAAAATGAACTCTTAAAGCAGTACATATCTTCAGAAATAAGGACTAACAAAAATTTCAGATGTGATCCTAAAAAACATTGGGAACAGAAGACTGTAGTTTTGACAGATCAAGGTCTTGGTGATAACTGTGAAAATGAAGGAATTGAACTGAATATGTGGGGTGTGCCCCTTAAGGTTAAGACAAGTGAATCCTTTGGTGCTCAAGTTCATGGCATGGCTCTTTTTGTTGATGTAAAGAATGTTGGTCCAAATAAGATCACCTGTGATGTAAATCTGCACAGTATACTAGTAAACAGACAACCAAATGGAAACAATCTTGTTAAATTAAAGAAGGAGTTATAACAGGGGATAGGCAAACTGTATCATTTGAAATTGAATGAATGAAGTTGAGAATGGTTTCCTAGTAAACAAAAAGTTTGGCATTATTGCACAGCTGTTTATGTAAAAACCAAACTTAGACAGTAAACAGTAATCTATACTTTATGTTGTGTATGTTTCTTTTATAAGTACAGTCAGGATTGACACGTGAAAAAAAAGAGCAAGACAGCTTTTTTATATTCATAAAATCTGTAGACAGATTGTATATTTTTATTGTTTATCTTGTGTTATTGTTAAGATTTAGAAAACCCTGTCAGTTATGCAAGAATATAAATATCTTGTTTACAGCTACCAGCACAGAACAGAATATCTAGGCTGGGTTATCACAGTTAAACAAGGCTTTGCCGAGTTTCTTTTGAACAGTTAGTTACCTGAGAGGAATTAAGAGTGATTTTGGTGAACCTAATTTATGAAGTAACCAGTGCAAGTGATTTTTAGTCAACCTTATATTAAATAATATGATTAAATGGGTATAAGGACTCTTACCTGCTATATTTTGTTGATGCAAATATGTCATTAATGAATATGAAATGTACTAGTATTAAGATGAATTGCTAACTGTTTGATAAATTAAATTAGAAAAAATACAAGCCTTAATAAAAGACATTGCATCATTTTTATTGTAAATTCTGACAGTAACAACTTAATTTTATGACTTCAGAAACAAATCATTCTTTTATAACTGACTACACTGAATACATGTACATAGAAAGTTTTCGTTTTCTATTCAGCTGATTTTAAGTTAATACTTGTAAATATATCAATAAAGTAGAAAATTGTTTTTATTTACTATTCTGCAAATCATGATGTATTCTTTTTTGTGTTCTCTTATTTTCATAAACAATGTAAAATAATGTTATTTTGTTTATATGTTTTATAATTATACATGTGATTATAAATTATGTTCTTTTACAGGTTTTATTCTGTGAATGTCAAAATGGTTTCCAACCAATTACTCTACAACCCATAGGCCCTCTGCCCACAAACGTCACAGGTTTATTGGTCTAGGCCAGTAGATGAGGGAGTATTATGATCCTATTTCATGTCCTTTAGCTTATTACATTATTTTATGTAGATGCTAGGTGTATTATTTTAATAATCTGGGGAGTCAGTGGTCAAGTGGTTTTCTCATCACCTCTGTGGGTTGGTATCCCTGTCAAGGACATGTGAAAAGCTAACCGGCATGTTCTACTCAGGTGCCCATTCGTACCTGAAATAATTCATGGAGGGGAACCTGAGGTCTTTCGTCACCAGTAAAGCTGAAAATTCAGCATATGACCTATACTGTGTTGTTGTTGTTAAGCCCAACAAAAAATAAATTAAATTAAAAAAAACTATAATTTGCCAACTGGATAGCGCCAGGGTACTTCCAAAGTTTACAAGAGCCATATTACATGTAACAAACTTTCAGAAAAATAGAGAAAATAAGAATCCCTAAAGAAAGCTCAACACGGCATAATTGAAAATGTTGCAGGCTCGGTTTGATTAAATCTGATGAAGGTGAGTAACTCTAAAACGTAGTAAGGCGCAGTTATTGTACTTGCACACTGTAGTTCTGCCCAATGTGCTCTGTCAGTGAATGAAGTTTGAAGGAAATTTTAGTAAAATTGGGACAGACGCACAGACTGTCACCATTTCTAATGTATCCCTTTTTCCTTTAGCGAGGGTATAAATGAATTAGAGTTAAAAATGGAATCTAGACAAGTGTAAGAATTTCTGAAGGTTAAGGATTAATAAGTACATGTATGTTGGTTTACTGTAGGTTTTTCAGAGAAATATTACAAACTGTGGTGAATAAAAAAAATAATACAGAGATTAAATCTTCATTTTATTTGATCATTAACAATTAATCAATTTAAAATTAAAATTTGAAAATACATATCTGTTTAAAATTTGCATAATGACTTATTTACACAATGTTTAGTTTAAATCTGCTGTACAACCGTCTGACATCTACTGAAAGTCTAGTAACATGTATTTTTTACAGATATAATTAACCTCCTTCTATACTATACCTATTATAAGCATTACAGTATCAAATTGATTCTTCTTCGCAAAACCATTCTTAGGATGACGTCATTTAAGCGTTATGAATGAAATTGTATAAGTTCATACGCTACTAAAAGTACGTAATGAAAATATCAGTTTTCGTTATTTCTGTTCTGAAAATAATGCAAGAAAAAGAATTCGCCTGTCGATATAGACGGGAATATCAAGCTCTCGGGTCACTGTTTAGCGGAAACTCGGCAGGGCCTCGTTACCGCCGTAAACAGTCACCCTCGAGCTCTGTACCGGCAGCCAGTGTAAAATTCTATATATGACTATTCAATAGTCAAAATTCTTTTTTGAAAATAATGTCATTTCCAGTATATTCCCTTCTAACATAGTACAGAATTTATATTTACAGTATATAACTTAATCATTTCGAATTTTTTAAAAATTAAACTGAAATATCGTGCATGCGAAACAATGCACTGATTTTAAAAATATTTTACAAGCACGTTTTTGGTACAATAAATTATAGTTTTATTATTTTATTAAACAAAAATCGACCGAAGACTTCGGAAGACACTTTCATTCATTTCTTTAATTGGATACTGAAAATGGTCGATAAAATTTTAGGGATTAAAAAAAAACAAGAATAAATCTTCCTGCAACAAATCTAGACTGAGAATACTGATATTTTCAAATGCCTAAACTGTGATAGATAGTTGAAAATAAGGTTTAAAAAATTATTGAATTATGGACACACTAATCAGAAGGTTTAAATCTATCCAAAATATTGTCGTCGCCGTTACACATACCACTATATACGGTTCATTCTATAATGTTTGCCAAATTCTTGTCACCAACATGAAAATGTCAGTTTTCAGTCATTTATTTGAAATAAATTAAGCAAATTACATATATGATATCAATCATACATATTTTTTTTAACTTCCTGATAAAGAAAAATGTCACTTCATTTATAAAAAAAAAATCATGAATTTTGCATTGCCAGTTCTCATTTATACAATTGTCACCCGAGGCGGAGATAATTATATGTAATTAATTTATTTTCAAATAATCTTTTACATTCATAAAAACATATTTATAACATTAAATTAAATTATAGTACATTAATTACAATTTATTTATTAAACATTAGTCAGCAGAATAAAAATTTTACTTGAAAATTTTGTCACCAAGTTCTATGTCATTTCCGAAACTTCCCCGTATAATACTGAAATCCGAGTAATAAACAATATAACATAAACAGTTGATTACGTCATTAAATGATACTAAACTGATATTCAAATATGCAGTTGTTTTCTCCCTTTGATTTGTAACCGCCACTGTTAGCTGTTAGTAGTTCACTGTACGTACTCAGTAGCGATCGTTAAATTTTATTTACTTTAACTAAACTACATTTTATATGGAGGCAGTTGAAAACGTCAGAATTGTAGACGAATCAGAAGATGCAGAAGCTGAACATACCGTTACCGATGAAGATAGTGAGAGTGTGGATTTAGCCGAGGTTATATCGCCTACTTTCGGTTTCACTGAAAAAACTTGGAGAACTGATCTTTGTCTTGTTGTTGAAGGAACAAAGCTTTACGTCGCAAAGGTGATTCTGTCACTTGCATCACCAGTATTTGATGCATTGTTTCAATCCGATTTCAAAGAAAAGTCAAGTGACGAGCTAGAATTGCCTGGGAAGAAACTAAGGGACGTCTTAGAATTCCTTCGATGTATTTACCCGAACAAATGCGCCCAAATCAATCGCGACAATGCTAGGGCAATTCTTCCCATTTTAGAAGAGTACCAGGTCCTACAGCTTAAACCAAGATGTGAAGTAGTTATACTTGAGACTGTTACAGAAGAAACATCGACGGATGAATTATTACAGTTATTGAAGGAGGCATGTTTGTATGATCTTAAAGCTTTACGTGCAAGATGCATATTTCTAATATCATCTAGACCATGTGATGCATTGGATGAAAGTTACTGTAAGTCGTTCCCTTCCGCAAGTGCATTAAATGAGATATTTGTAGATGTTAATACATCAATGAAGAGAAAGTTAGCAGAGCTAGAAGAAGACACCAAGGAAAATGAACTCTTTAAGCAGTACATTACTTCAGAAATAAGGTCTAGGACAGATTTTAAATGTGATCCTAAAAAACATTGGGAACAGAAGACTGTAGTTCTGACAGATCTTGGTTTTGATAACTACTGTGAAAATGAAGGAATTGAACTGAATATGTGGGGTGTGCCCCTTAAGGTTAAGACAAGTGAACTTGGATATTCTGGTAGTTCTCCATTTGGTACTATGGCTCTTAATGTTGATGTAAAGAATGTTGGTCCAAATAAGATCACCTGTGATGTTAATATGCACAGTATACTTGTAAACAGACAACCAAATGGAAACAATCTTGTCAAATTTCAAGAAGGAGTGATTAAAAAGGATAGGCAAACTGTATCATTTGAAATTGAAAGAATAAGTATAATGAAGGATTTTGATAATGGTTTCCTGGTAAACAAAAAGTTTGGCATTATTGCACAGCTGTTTATGTCAAAACCAAACTTAGAGAGTCCACAGTAATCTATACTTAATGTTGTGTATGTTTCTTTATAAGTACAGTCAGGATTGACAGGTGTGAAAGAGCAAGACAGCTTTTTTATATTAATAAAATCTGTAGACAGACTGTATATTGTTATTATTTATCTTGTTTACGGCTACCAACACAGAACAGAATATCTAGCCTGAGGGTTATCACAGTTAAACAAGGCTTTGCCGAGTTTCTTTTGAACAGTTAGTTACCTGAGAGGAATTAAGAGTTATTTTGGTGAACCTAATTTATGAAGTAACCAGTGCAAGGGATTTTTAGTCAACCTTATATTAAATGATATGATTAAATGGGTATAAAGGACTCTTACCTGCTATATTTTGTTGATGCAAATGTCATAAATGAATATGAAATGTACTAGTATTAAGATGAATTGCTAACTGTTTGATAAATTAAATTTTAAGAAAAAATACAAGCCTTAATAAAAGACATTGCATCATTTTTATTGTAAATTCAGTAACAACTTAATTTTATGACTTCAGAAACAAATCATTCATTTATATCTGACTACACTGAATACATGTACATGGAAAGTTTTCGTTTTCAATTCAGCTGATTTTAAGTTAATACTTGTAAATATATCAATAAAGTAGAAAATTGTTTTTATTTACTATTCTGCAAATCATGATGTATTCTTTTTTGTGTTCTCTTATTTTCATTAACAATGTAAAGTAATGTTATTTTGTTTATTAGCTCACCTGTCACAAAGTGACAGGGTGAGCTTTTGTGATAGCTTTTCGTCTAGCGTCCGTCCTTCTGTCGTCCGTCCGTCCGTAAACTTTTACTTTAAATGACATCTCCTCATAAACCGCTTAGCCAATTTCATCCAAACTTTACAGGAATGTTCCTTTGGTGGTCACCTTTAAAAATTGTTCAAAGAATTTAATTCCATGCGGAACTCTGGTTGCCATGGCAACCGATAGAAAAAACTTAAAATACCTTCTTTTAAAAAACCCAAAGAGGTAGAGCTTAGATATTTGGCATGAAACATCTTCTAGTGAGTTTATATCAAGTTTGTTCAAATAAAAGCCCTGGGGTCAAAATTGGCCCCGCCCCGGGGGTCATTGATTTTCCCGATATGCATATAGTAAAAACTTAAAAATTCTTCTTTTAGAAAACCCTAAGAGCTAGAGCTAAGATATTTAGCATGAAACATCTTCTAATGGGTGTCTACCAAGCTTGTTCAGATAAAAGCCCTGGAAGCCCCAGGGGGTCATTGATTTTCCCTATATGCATATAGTAAAAACTTTAAAAAAAAACTTCTTTTAGAGAACCCAAAGAGCAAGACCTAAGATACTTAGCACGAAAGATGTTCTAATGGGTGTCTACCAAATTTGCTCAAATAAGAGCCCTGGGGTTAAAATTGGCCCTGTCCCGGGGGTCATTGATTTTCCTTATATGTGTATTGCAAAAACTTTTTAAAAAAATCTTTTTTTGAAAAAACCCAAACAGCTAGAGTTTAGATATTAAGCATGAAACGTCTTCCAATTAGTGTCTTAAAAGTTTGTTCAAATAAAAGCCCTGGGGTCAAAATTGGCCCTGCCCTGGGGGACATTAATTTTCCTTATATATGTGTATAGCAAAAACTTAAAAATCTTCTTTGAATAAAAACAAATAGCTAGAGTTTAGATATTAAGCATGAAACATCTTCTAGTGAGTGTCTTCAAAGTTTGTTCAAATAAAAGCCCTGGGGTCAAAACTGGCCCTGCCCTAGGGATGTCATTGCTTTTAACTATATGTGTATAGTAAAAACTTAAAAAATCTTTTTTTTTTTTAAAAACTCAAAGAGCTAGACCTTAGATGTTTAGCATGAAACATCTTCTTATGGGTGTCTACCAATTTTGTTCAAATAAAAGCCCTGGGGTTTAAACTTGCCCTGCTCTGTGGGCCTATATACAGGTGAGAGACTTCAGGGCCATCATGGCCCTCTTGTTAAATATGTTTTATAATTATACATGTGATTATAAATTATGATCTTTTGCAGGTTTTATTCTGTGAATGTCAAAATGATTTCCAACCAATTACTCTACAACCCAAAGTCCCTCTGCCCACAAGCGTCACAGGTTAATTGGTCTTGGCCAGTAGATGACACCTTTTGATTTTGGGTCAAGGGGTTAAGGTCCCAATGACCTTGTATGTCAAAACAGATTCCGACCAATAACTAAAACTGAGACTTGGACTGCATGATGGTTTTGGACCAGTAACTTGACAACCAATGGGTCCTTCACAGGTGCATTGGTCTTGGGCAGCAGAGGAGCCCTTTTGAATTTTTGGTCTAGGGCTAAAAGGTCAAAGTCACTAACCGTGTATGCCAAAACAGTGTTCAAGTAACATTAAGTGCATTTTCAGACATACCAGTGTAAGGGATGGGGTACAGGGCATGCATGTAATTGTTTAACAAACATTTGTCATTTACATTGATTTTAAGTGAATTTTGCAATGTGTAAATTTATCTATATTTACATATATTATGTATTATCAATTATTTGTATACACAAGGAGTGTCAATTAGATTTTTTTTAATTTCATTAGCTCATGCCTTGTTCACATCTCAATTACAAGCCAAATACATGTATAGGTATTATAATTATTGTCTAGATTTTTAAACATCAACAATAAGAGAAATTAAAAAGTCAAGATAAGGGAGTATTATGATCCTATTTTATGGCCTTTGGCCCTTTAGCTTATAACATTATTTTATGTAGATGCTAGATCTGATGGAGGGGAGTAACTCTAAAACGTAGTAAGGCGCAGTTTTTATACTAACACACTGTAGTTCTGCCCAATGTGCTCTGTCAGTGAATGAGGTTTGAAGGAAATTTTAGTAAAATTGGGACAGACGCACAGACTGTCACCATTTCTGATGTATCACTTTTTCTTTTAGCGAGGGGATAAATGAATTAGACAGAGTTAAAAAAGGAAGCTGGACAATTCTAAGAAATTTTGAAGGTTAAGGGTTAATAATTATCAATATGTTCACTGTATGATTTTCAGAGAAATATTACAAACTGTGGTGAATAAAAATAAATAATACAGAGAGATTAAATCTTCGTTTTATTTGATCATTAACAATCAATTTAAAATTAAAATTTGAAAATACATATCAATATTATACTATTTCAAATTTGCATAATGACTAATTAACACCATGTTTAGTTTAAATCTGTGACATCTACCTTTGTGCTGTACATGTAATGAATAAACATCATCCAAGCTAATATTCCTATACTTGACCAATAATATGATCAGGACAGTATCAAATTGATTCTTCTGGACAAATACATTGTTCATGAACTTTGAAATTCATGATCATAAACTTAAAAATTTATAACCATGAACTTACAAATTAATAATCATGAACTTTTGAAATTTATAAGGATTTCCATAGGACTAAAATTACTAAAAATTATAGTGGTAGTTTCTTGAGAAGGAAAAAAACAACAGAACAGTGTGATGTATCATAATGATGAACTAATACTATAGAATAAGTTAGGTAAGATTATGTTGAATCATTACTTAAAAATATACTATGCTCATCTTTGGGTAAAATGCTTTTAAATATTGCAGAAATTTATTGAAATCTTTATTGAAATCTAGTAAATTCTTCCTGAATATGTCTAATTTAGGTTAGTGAATGTATAAGCCAGGTTTTGAAAGCTGCATGTAATCATACTTATAATGATTACATGTAATGCATAGAGTTTAAAACGTAACATATTTTCTCTGTGGGTATTCAAAAGATGTTTATGTTAATTTTCAAAAGAGACTGAATAGTAATTATCAGTTTCTTCAAATATCAAATTTGAGCATAATATATCTTTAATTGTAAATATTCACAATTGAAACATGATATCATATTTATGAGAACTACATCTCACAAAAGTGAAAGTATCCCAGCTACCACAGAATATATAAGTAAATAATTAATTTGATACTGGGCGATGATTCAACATAATCTATACTGTACTAGCTTGGACACCTCCACTTTTGTGAGACATAGTCTTGATTCAATTTGACATATATTTCAATTAACCCTTAATCTGCTAAATTTCTTTAATGGACTTTTTCCAATTTCCATTTTGGAACAGTCCATTATCAATTTTAGGTATATCAAGGTGAGAATTTGAAGTTGGCGAGCCAACATTATAGAGTCTGGTCAGACTGCATGGATGTGCAGGCTGGCCTGGCTCTACACTGGTGGCAAAGACTAATCACTTTCGCCTTCAGCAGGGTAAAGCCTAAAGGTTGAAGTAAAATTTAATTTGAAATTATAAGAAAAAGCAAAATGGATTTTGAGCAAAGTAGCCTTTGTTGAAAATGTTATATGAACTATAAATGATTCTTCTGTTATAGTAATCTGACAAAAGAAAAATAAACAAAATTAATTAATGCCATAAATGATGCTCACTTCATGGACATTTTTTTTAGATTTTACAGACTTCATAAAAAACATACATGACATTCATGTATTATGCAACACAATGATAGCATAATTTTGTATATCACACACATCAAATATGGCAAGAGCTGTTGGTAGGACAGCATGCATGATTATACTCAGTTTTTGATAGTAAAACAAGATGGAAAATGTAAAATTTTCTAAGTTCAAAAAGGGCCGTAATTCTGTCAAAATCCATGTTAGTGTTATGAACCTTAGACAGTGTCTTGAAGTGTTGAAGTTTCAACCCATTCCCTTCAGTAGTTTTTGAGATACCAACTTGCACACAAAAAATTAACGCAAGGATGATGCTGAGGCCTAAGTGTGTATGATACCTCCCCAAAATTCTTTGATTCTTTTTTAAGGTTAACACATTAATGGTGTACATTCAAAAGTTCAAATAATGCCCTAAGTCTGCCAACCATATCCACTGGTAGACATCCATGGAAGGTAGTAACACACTCATATACAAGATTATTATCAATGTAAATATGCTATACTGCTACAAGAAATGGTAGACTGAGATGTGAAGCCTGAGGAATTACAAATTAGTATACAGATGTAACATTGATAACTTTCTCTGTAGTTACAACTTTGTGTGTTCTAAGACAACAGAAAATTAAAACAAAAAACACTTAATTTGAGGTAAGTTTATCACACCTGAACAAAAATGGATATCTATAAATTACCCTAGTGTTGTTTTCATCTTGAAATAATTAAAATTTACACTGATTATATAGAGAAAATTTCATGTTAAACAAGAATTTGTAACAGAGTTACCAACGTCCCCCGCCCCGGGAGTTTTATATGAAGCATAAAATTGTGCTATTTCAAAAGATTGAGGTATGGATCTCAGGACATTCAGTCCAAAATTATGATCAATGCTAGATCTGCAAATGTAACAATAAATTTGTCAAAAAAATAAAATGAAACACTGAATTTAAAAATCTATCATGTTAAGCTTTGACCTCTAAGTGTGACCTTGACCTTGGAGGTAGGGGAGCAGGTGTTGTGCATGACATAACGTCTTATTATTGAGACTATTTGTGCCAAGTATTTTCAAAATCCCTTGAACTATGAAGAAGTTATAGATTGGACACAAAATATACCCTATAACAGACTATGTAAATCTTTGACCTCTAAGTGTAACCTTGACCTTGGAGGTAGGGACACAGATTTTACGCATGACATATCATCTAATCATTGTGACTATTTGTGCCAAGTATTTTCAAAATCCCTTAATCTATGAAGAAGTAATAAACAGGACCAAAAATATACCAAATAACAGACTCTGTTAACTTTTGACCTCTAAGTGTGACCTTGACCTTAAGAGGTAGGGGTGCAGGTGTTGTACCTGACATATCGGCTTATTATTGTGACTATTTGTGCCAAGTTATTTCAAAATCCCTTGAACTATGAAGAAGTTCTAGATTTGACACAAAATATATCCTATAACAGAGTATGTTAATTTTTGACCTCTAAGTGTGACCTTGACCTTCGAGGTAGGGATGCAGGTGTTGCGCATGACACATCCTCTTATTATAGTGACTATTTGTGCGAAGTATTTTCAAAATCCTTTGATCTATAAAAAAGATATAGACCAGACACAAAATATACCCTGTAACAGACTATTTAAGTATTTGACCTCCAAGTGTGACCTTGACCTTGGAGGTAGGTGACCGGTTTTTGCGCATGACACATCATCTGATTATTGTGAACAATTATAGCAAGTATTTACAAAAGTCCTTCATAGATAAGAAAGTTATGGACCGGACACGACATATACCCTCAAATAGACAATGTTGACCTTGAATGAGCAAGTACGACCTTGACCCTGAAGGTACGGGTCTGGTTGTTGCGCATGACACATCGTCTTATTATAACAAACATTTGTGCCAAGTTATCTCAAATTCCTTTGATAAATGACAAAGTTATGGACCGGACACGAAATATACCCTGTAACAGACTATGTTAATATTTGACCTCCAAGTGTGACCTTGACCTTGAAGGTAGGTGACTGGTTTTTGCGCATGACACATCGTCTGATTATTGTGAACAATTATGGCAAGTATTTACAAAATCCCTTCATAGATAAGAAAGTTATGGACCGGACACGACATATACCCTCAAATAGACAATGTTGACCTTGAATGAGCAAGTACGACCTTGACCCTGAAGGTACGGGTCTGGTTGTTGCGCATGACACATCGTCTTATTATAACAAACATTTGTGCCAAGTTATCTCAAATTCCTTTGATAAATGACAAAGTTATGGACCGGACACGAAATATACCCTGTAACAGACTATGTTAATATTTGACCTCCAAGTGTGA